TCTGTATGCCTATTTGGAAAAACACAACTGACCACATCATTAAAGTTTGTCGAGAGCTTCCTTTGCTTGTAGCCTTTAACTTAAGTTGGAAACTAATAAATTGACAACTCTACACTCAGGATTAAATTTTTAATCTAACCTGAAAAGCTACTTTTTTCAATGAAAGAAGAATATTTCTCTCCTTTTCTTGGGGTTTCTACTTCCCAATTTTTCTGCCTTGGCATGGGGAGAATTTTCTTTCCATATCCATGTTGTAGATGGTAAGTCACTAAATTGGTTCAAGGACAAAATTATGAAAAGATAAGGGGTCCAAACACAAAACCTCTAAGCGCTGCTGAAAAAAGGAAGAAGAATATTTCTATGACACAAAGGAATATCAACTGCATTATCCATACAAACAATACTTTGGCTGGTTTTTGTTTTTTGTTTTTTAATTTTTATTTTACTGTTTTTATTCTTGGTGAAGAAGGGGTGGGGGCATGGGGGAGTAAATTTGTTTTTCCTTTTGAAAATTTTTGGCTTTTACTGTCCCTACTGTCTTGAAAGGTTATAACCCATTATTTCTTATATCAACTTTATAAATTTGTTTTGAACATTAATGGATGAGCCCGTAGATTGGGAACTCAGTAAGCTTATCTTAGGGTGTTGTAAGGAATGATTTGAGGCTCAAAGAAACTGACCTTAGGCCCTCATGCTTTTTAAGTGTGAGAACTATTGCATCCCATATTTGAAATATCGTGCAATTCATTTACTTAAATATAATTGGAAAGGATGAAATACTGATTTTGATGTTTTGTTAGCAGACTTGGTGCCTCTAAAAAATTGCTTCATTGCTATCTAGTCCTTGTCTGCTTTTCTGCCTTTGCATGCCAATTTAAGTCAACATCTGATATACTATAACTATAACCAGTTTGATATAATCTCATTATTGGGTTGGTATTTGAGGTCCACTACAGGCATGACGTTGTTAATATCCTTGTGGTGATACAAGCTGAATGATTGGTATGACGTAATTTTCATTTGCAATTCTAAAGCTCCTCCACTATTTCCGACTACTTTTAGAGTGACTAATGGGAACAAGGATGTATGTATGTTAATAGTAGTATCTTAAAAGATATGTTTGGACCTTTGACATGATACATCCTTTTGAGTTTACAACATCCATGCTGGTTGGAGGGCATTAACTTTTGAGAGAAGATTCTTTTGGAGTTTGGAGGGAGCTTACTTTATAGTAATAGAATAGGTATGATGTAAGTGAGTACTTGGTAATGCAGAAAATTTTTTGGTCCTCCACAATTTCACCTGCATTGCTGCTCTTAGTGACCGAGTTTCTGGTGGTTTAACATGATTTTGTACCTTATCTCAGCTTTTTTAAATTTTAACAAAAAGATCTATCTAGATAGCCATTCTGCAAGCTGTAAGTATGTCACTTGTCACTTTAAGCTATGCTGAATGTATAGTAGATTTAGTTTATTTTTTGGGTTGTGGGAATTTGTTTAATCCATATAGTGCACTTATCATCTCAATGGAAAATCTTTGTTTAATGAAGACAGCAATACCTGATAGGCAATATTGCCAACTTTGATTAGTGAACCGAGTTAGGTGGGTCCAAGTAATAGCTCCTTGATGATTATATAAGGCTAGGGGGATAGGCAGCACTCTTGCTCTGCAAGTTGAATATATTTTTTTTTTTTTTGTGTGTGTTATTACCCATGTTGCCCATTCTCCTGCTTATTTTTTGTGTATATTCCTTTTACTTGCCCCAATTTTTACCTTGAAAGGTCAAAGGCTTGAGGATCTTTAGGGCCCATTTAGTATTGTTTATTCGTTTTGGTTTTTGTTTTTCAAAAATTTGAAATAAAGATCCTATCAATAAAAATTATTTATTTTGTTTACTTATTCTTTTAAAAAGAATATGAATTGTCAACAAAGAGAAATAATAGCAAGTCCATTTTTGCTTGTTTTCTCAAGCTCGATTTCTAAAGAGACATACTTTTTTGCTTTAGAAAAACAGAAACAATACTAATCCCCCATTTAGTTCTTGGAAATTGCAAGTTTGGCATTACCGTCAACCTTGAGCAAGTTTATTAAGTTTTTGTTTCTTATGGGAATCCACATTATTTTTCAAGATTCGAACCATAAATATTTCCAATTTTAGGACAATGGGTAGAAAGATGGATATTCCCAAGCTAGCAAGTTATTATAATGCATATCACAATTAGCTTATTTTTTGGAAACTTTTTCACTCCCATTCAATTTGGGGATCAACCCTCAGTTTGTTTGAGTTTCATTGACCTTTAACTATTTTTGAATAGTGCCATGACAACAAAAGCAAGATATGTATTTGCTAGACTGAATTTGTCAACAAGTGAATGATGTTAGTGGTTTCTTATGCCTTTGTCAATCTTTTATAGCCAAATGTTTGCAAAGTGTTGCCTCTTTTAAAAAATGTTAATAATATCAAATAAGATTTCCCATAGTCCAAGAAAGAACACTGCAATCCTCGTTTGTTTAGACCTTGATTTTTGATGTAATTGCATCCAATTTTTTGATGGTAGAGAAAGATAAGGGTTGGATTCTCTAAAGGTTAACTACAAATGCAAAAAATAAAATAAAATTAAAATAAAATTTCTTTTTTTGTCTTTGTGCCTTGAAGAGAGTCCTTTTAATAGTAGCTTTACTTTATTTGTTTTTGCAAAAAAATATTTGCCCCATCGTTTTGTTGAAAGTTTAAAGATTAAGATGTTGGGAAAATCCTAGATTAAATAATAAAATATAAGGGACTTATAAGTGAATAGCGTTGGAATGGCACAACCAATTGGGGTTTTGTATGAGACAGAGTCAAATACTTGCATTAGTTGTAAACCAACCTACATGACCTTTGGACTTCAATGTAAGAAAACATTGGCACCCCTTTTCTTCTCTTTTCTTTTTTTTTTTTTTTTTTTTTTTAAAGAGAAATTTTATAAATGTAGGTACTTGGAACCAAACCTTAGAACCTCTAACTTTTACTTGATTAACTTTTAATCAATGCACCCCTCAAGTCTTCTTTTTCTTTTTAACTTTATAACTCTAGCTCCAACCATTGAGTAGAAAAAAATTGCCAAAAAAATTATTTTTGAATTTTGCTTTATAAAATAAGTGGTTTTATTTATTCTACTTTTTTTTTTTTTTTTTTTTTTTTTTTTTTTTTTTTTTTGTATTTGGCCTCTTAACTTTAAATTTTTCTTTGGCCCCTTTGGCTTTGGAGTTAGGCTCCATCACTAATTTGCTTATTGTTTCTAATAGTTTGAAGCTGTCCACAAACTACTCTGAATTGTCTTTTTTTTTTTTTTTTTTTTTTTTTTTTTTTTTTTTTTGTATTTGGCCTCTAACTTTTAAAATTTTTCTTTGGCCCCTTTGGCTTTGGAGTTAGGCTCCATCACTAATTTGCTTATTGTTTCTAATAGTTGAAGCTGTCAACAAACTACTCTGAATTGTCTATAATTACCATAATTTACCCTTTATTTGATAATTTTCTCTCATATTGAACTTTAATTAGAAAAATATGATGGGTCCAAAATTTTCATTCATATTTATCCAAAGAAAATTATATATCCAAAGAAAATTATATACTATATGTATTGGAGCTTTAATCTAAAACCATAATCAAACAAAATATTCAGATATGAATTTTGATAAAAGCTAAACCAAATGAACTTCATTTGTAAATGGTGAATTTTGATCAAATAAGTAACCTTTGATAGTTCTAGTTAATTTTGGTCATTGTTTGTTCAGTCTTTTGCCAAACAAATTGGGGCCTAAATCATATAATCCTTCCACCAAGAAGCAATTTTTTTTTTTAATGCAAAGAAAGCTTTTTAAACACATTTGAATTGGTTGTGTGGATGATACATGATTTTTTTCTATGAAAAATTTTTCCTCTCATACACAAATATGGTACTGAAATCCTTGAATGGAGTAAAATTCAATTTTTTTGTGAGAGCTAATTATAATAGTGATTTTTATTCTAAAATAAGTGAGAAATTGTTATCCTTTTCTGTAGCGGTGCTTAAAATAATTAGCAGCACCAAGACCTGCATAAAATTTTTTATGTGCAGGATGAAATAGAAGCTTGATGTAAGCTGACTACCTGAATGCTGACAACCATCGAAATAACATAAAAAATCTTCAGGTTTTTCAATCCATTTGATTTTCTACGAAAGAGTGGCATAAAATTGAGACTTCTATCAGTTATGTTTCATGTTAATCTACAAAGTTTCTGTACACTCTGTCAGAATATCACACACATAAACGTGCTTATGAGGTTCTCCTCTAAATTCCCCTTTATTGTGACAATCAAGATCTTTAACACAGTATGTTAATGGGGGGGCTGGTTTGGCCAAGAAGTCAAACTGACTGCTTGGTCAAACCAGCCCCCCCTTTTTTGGTTTAACTAACAGAAGGGGGTAACGCAAATATGGTTCTTATAATGGTCCACTGAAGTTAGCCTCCAATATGAGGGAAGAGAATAAGAATATGAGGGAAGATTTATACCTCCAAAATATCTGATTTGAGGAATTTGCCAAATGATTGAACTAGCTGTTTGGAAAGCACTTATTAATTTAGGAGTGGAGAAATTTAAAGGGCAGGCGATTTCAAATGATGGATGAAAGGAGAAGCACGCACTGAAAAAGAGGACCAAAGTATCATGCATACTCAGAACTGGAGCTTCAATAAATGCATGGGTTTTTATCTTTATTTAAACCATCAACTGAACAAACAAGCTACGGATAAGATGTTGACTATAGGTTTTCTGCAATTATATAATTTTTTCTTGTGTTTGACATGTTACTACATGGAAGGCGTGGTTTATTTCTGACCCAAACTGATGTCCTGTCTCATTTTTGCTGATGATTTACACATCCTATTATCGTTAAGTTATCAAATTTGGTTATGTCTTTATTGCTATTTGATCTTGGAATGACTTTTGTTAAAGTTTCTCATCTAACTTATGATGCTAACAAATATTTCACTTGCAGTTGGAGAAGGAGGCTGTTGCTAAAGGTGTTCCGATAGGACAAGCTCTTGACATAGACATTCCGCCTCCACGTCCTAAAAGGAAACCAAGCAATCCCTACCCTCGGAAAACAGGTGTGGGGCCTATACCTTCTCAGGTGCCAGCAAAGGATGGAAAGCTTAATTCAGCTCCTTTTCCACATTGTAAACAACTGCTGGACTTGGAGAAAGAACCACTTCCTGAGGTGAAGAATTATTTTTCATCTTCTCTTTTTATTCATTTAGTTGATTTTATTTCCTCATTATTTTTTCTACTGTACAAATTCAGAAACCCAATGGAGATGAGAATGCAAAAGAAAACCAGGACAACAATTGCTCAGAAGCCTTTATGCTTCTCCAAGAAGTTCACTGTTCCTCTGTGTCTTCAGTGAATAAAAATTCTGTACCAACAACAGAGGTGCTAAAACATTCATGCTCTTTTAGGGAGTTTGTACCTTCACTGAAGGAGGTGGTAAATCAGGGTGCAACTAATGAATCCTTTATCACCATTGAACTGGCAAGAAATCAGAAGCTGGATAAGCCTGATGACAAGAAGACAGTTCAGGATAATTGCACTAATATAGCTGCAAAGTTGGAATCCTGCCCTTTTCATGAGAAATTAAGTCAGGGAAAGAAATCAGATGAACTCAACAACGCATTGCCAGCAGATGAGATGGAAGCCATGCAGAATTATCCTAGACACGTCCCTGTACATGTTTTAGATGGGAGCTTGGGCACATGTATGCAAACTCCTCCCTCAGATTTGTCATTCCAGGACTCCATATTTCACCCAGTAAGAGAAGTTCAAGGGACCCCCAATCTGTTCTCACATCCAGCTGCATCTGCTACTACTGAACAACAAAGTAATGTGCCAAGATCTTCTACACATCAATCATATCATACTTTTCCTCCTTCCTTTACTCCAACTCACCATAATCAAGATGACTATAGATCATTTCTCGACATGTCCTCCACATTTTCGAGTCTTATTGTATCTACACTCTTACAAAACCCTGCAGCCCATGCTGCAGCAAGCTTTGCAGCTACAATTTGGCCCTATGCTAATGTGGAAAGTTCTGCAGAGTCTCAACCATGTGCCCAAGGAGGTTTTCCATCAAGGCAAATGAACACTGTTCCCAGTATGGCAGCTATTGCTGCTGCCACAGTGGCAGCAGCGACTGCATGGTGGGCAGCCCATGGACTACTTCCCTTATGTGCTCCTCTTCATGCTGCCTTTACCTGCCATCCTGCCTCTGCAACTGCAGTTCCATCAGTGGATCCTGGCCAGTTGACTGCAGCAAAGATGGAAAGAAAGGAAACTAATCTTGAAAATCCTCGTCTGCAAGATCAACAACTGGATGTAGAACACTCTGAAGCTTTGCAAGCTCAAAATTCAGCTTCTAAATCACCAACGATGTCATTGTCAGACTCTGAAGAGAGTGGAGGTCCAAATCAAAATACCGGATCAAAAACTACTGATAAAGAGATGGTTGCAACAGCACCTGAGATCCATGACGAGAGCAAAGTGAAAAACAGAAAACAGGTTGATCGTTCTTCGTGTGGTTCAAACACATCATCAAGCAGTGAAGTAGAGACAGATGCATTAGAGAAGCTTGAAAAAGGCAAGGAAGAGACAAAAGAAACTGATACAAATCATCTAGCCATTGAGTCTAGTAGCCGTCGCAGTAGAAGTAATAGCAGCATGAGTGATTCGTGGAAGGAGGTCTCTGAAGAGGTAATTGTTTTACTTTCTTTGAAATATGTTTGGCTAGGTGAGAATTTGAAATGATAGGTAATTTGAATATGATATTAGTTTATGAGTATATAAACTTTCTTTTATAGCGCGAATATATTCTCCTGGTGGAGATGAAAATTAAAAATTTCAGTTGATGGTGAATTTGATACCATACTAGTATTTGGTTAAAGAACATTTTCTTTTCGTCTTCACAAATTCAAATCCTAATTCAGTTTTAACTAAAAATCCATTTACAAATTCTAGGATTTCAAGTCTTTCATCCAAATGAACCTGGTAAAAATCTTAATCACATTGTGTATACTAGAAGAATATTGCTTGTTATTTTGTCTCTGTATTAATTTCGACGCTTTTGTTACTAATGCACCAGGGGCGGCTGGCTTTTCAAGCTCTCTTTTCCAGAGAGGTATTGCCACAAAGCTTCTCTCCTCCACATGATCAGCAGAATGAGGCTCACCAGAAGGATGATGTTGAAGAAGACAAGCAGAACAGAGATGAAATAGATAGAAATGCAACATTGTTGAATCTCAACAGCATGACATGGGGATCCTGTATGAGCAATCTTGAAGTGGGGAAGAACACATTGACTAAATGTGAAAACAATGGGAAGGAGGGACTCCTGACAATCGGGCTTGGAAATGGAGGGCTAAAGGCTCGCCGAACAGGATTTAAACCTTACAAAAGATGTTCAATGGAGGCAAAAGAAAGCAGGGCCATAACTGCCAGCAGCCAAGGTGAGGAGAAATGCCCCAAGAGAATACGTGTGGAAGGGGAAGCTTCAACTTGATATTGCATGCTTAAACGAAGGAAAGCTTTGTTTCTGCATGTAATTTTATTATTTACTTCCCCATTTATCTATTTACCTTTTCTCTTTGAATTAAAGTATCTGCAGATCACGAGACTATTTCGTGCAATGTGTGTACCATATATATCTACTTTAGCTTATTTACTTTCTTGAACCGTGCAACTGCATTTAAAAAACTCCGTTAAATAGACTTAGATAAGAACCAAGTATCTAATGGGCCCTGATCTGGCCCATTTCGTCCAGAGGTAGTGTGTATTACTATTTACATCTGTATTTCCTAGACTTCCATTTTTCCTCGCATTGGGGCTAACAAAGCAAGTCATGCGTCCATGTGCTTGTTTGCTTCATTGCAGCTGATGCGGTGAGAAATGGAATTTAACCTTCTCATCAAATATCTTCTGATTGTTGTACTATCATGTCTTAGATGCAGGTGCATGTGGAACTCAGAATAAGATGCATATCATGTAACAAATGATAATTCTTATCAAATAATTTTGTTTGTGGTGCCTAAATATCTGAATTTCTCTTCTGACAATAAAAAATGGGAATCATATGCATATTTAATAATTAGCATAAAATTTAATGTAGTAGTTACAGTTACCCTTAATATTTACAGTTCTTTATAGCTTCTATACAAGCAAAAGAAAAAACCTCAAAACAATTATGGACTCCTGGATGCCAAGAGTATATAATATACAATTCTATACATCCAGTACGTGCCATAGTAAACATCTTAGTCAGTAGTAAACCAGTTTCATCAAGCAAAGTTCAAATCTGAGCTTGATTTCTAGGGATTGATATCGGCAGTTGAAGAAAGAGAATGTGTAAAGGAGAACCTGTACACCATTTGTACATTTTGGTAAGGGAACTAAGGATAAAAAATGGCTGCTATATTAGAAGTGAGATTGATGGGTCTGCAAGTTGGTTATATAGCTTTGTACTCGTTTCTTATCGGCAGGAGTTAATAAAAATGGTGGGTTTAGTTGTAAAGATTCTGCTTCTTCTGCAACAAACGAAAGTAGAAGCACTGCTTTGGAATATGAGATTGCTGCATTGCCCTTGTTCTCCATATACTCGTCTACCTGGACAGTGAGAGCCAGCAGCATTATGCATTTGTATAACACAAACATGACATTCATTCAGCATTTAATTAAGCTACTTACAGCCCCACTTGTTCCGAGAGCAAGAGCTTTTTGAAATATTATTTCCATTGCATCAGGCATCTTGGCATTAGCTGCAACATATTTGACAGATATGTCTAAGTAAACTGCAAACAGTAAAGGCAAAACATCACAAGAGGACATTGAAATGCAGACTAACCATCGATATCTTGAATTTGATGTGATAACTTAACTGCACGATAACATGCAGCAATAAATTCTTGCTCTGCCCACTTGCAAGCAGATGAAAGCCTACTAAAATCTGTTTCAACTCCTATATCGCCATGAACAGAAGCAGATTCATTAGCTGAACTGCTTTCAGGTAATTCACTTCCTGCAGTTGTGTCTCGCCAGGAGCAGCAAATTTGAACAGCTTTTTTCCATATGGCCAAAACAAGAAGTTCAACTGAAAACGATTCCAGAAATAGTCCTGCATTGATCTGCAAGTAATAGAAATTACAACTGGGACAAAATCGAACATGTCTAATCAGCATCATGGGCTACAGCCAATGGATTAAATGCTAGTGTATTTTGCTTCAATGGCTACAACATAGGAAACATGTAACATGATAAAAATTCAAAATATTATTAGAAATAAAATAACATCAACATAGATGAACCAAGCATAGAAAACTAAGCCTGTTGCACTTGACATCAGCTGTTAAAAGACAAAGCTGGTGCAAGGCCCTGAAAATCCACAGGAACAAAATATTGCTCAACGTAAAATGCTGCAGTCACCTTTTCCTGAGCTATTTCTGCAATAGCTTGTACATACTGATGCAACAAGTCGAGCCTAGTTGATGGATTCAGTGTAGATTGTCGTTGTACTTCATTTGATATAGTTGGTGAACATGATGTAGCTAATGGTTCTGATCCATGGACTACAGAATTTTCTGCCGCACCAACAGAACTCGCAGTACTCTGGGTTGTCTGCAATGGGTAAATAGAAACTCTAGCAGTTGAGGTTTCCTGAAGGGATGTCTCAGAGTAATAAGAGAAATTCTCCATTGAAGCAAAATGGTGGTTCACAAGAACATAATCTTTCTCAATCGACTCCACTGAATCAGCAACTAAATAGAAAAGACAAAATCAGCAATGTGAGGAGATTGAAGGCTTCAATGGCCCTGAAAAATTAAAATATGAAGAATAAAAAGTAGACCTCCAGGTTGATCTGATAAATATTGGGTTCCATCAATTGATTTCCTTGTCTTATCATGTACAGTGTTATTACCAGATGTACTGCCATGAACTTTTCCATGAACTACAACGTCATGGACAGATGAACTTGTCAATTTTGCAGTTCTGTTAGCCAAGTACATGGGATGCTTTGAATACAACTGAGACCTCTTATCGGAAGAAGAAGAATCAAACTGCTCAACCACTGATTTTGTTTCTTGCAGCAAAGAAGATTGCTCGACATCCACTATTAACCTACAGAATTTGAAGTAATAACTAAAATCTTAGTACCTTGAATATGCTCACTGCTTCTGGACCAAAACAGAAGCATCGTGATGCACAAAATTCGCAAATAAATATTGTGTTTAAAGAAAAACAGAGATCAGGTATAGGACCTTGGCTCCCCTAGGAACTTGTGATTGAAGAACTCCTTGAATGTTAGTCTCTCAACTGAAAATAAAAGTTCAAAATTTTACATAGAAGCCTTTTGATAGCATGCAAGTAAACTATTAATAGAATGAAGTGAATTAGTTGCACATACAACAATAAATAAACCTCTCCCTCTCTCTAACTTCGATTGTACACTATCATGACCAGGCTACATACGACCCATTCTAACCCGACCCTACCTGTTAGATTTGAAAATATAATGGATTGGACTTTGTCAATTATCTTTATGATTCACGAGTTGGATTGGGTCTTGCATTCACTAGGTAAATCAGCGAACCAAACCCAACCTGTAAATAATATATATATATATATATAGTTATAGTTATAGTTATAGTTATATAATTATGAATTTTTTGATTAGTTTGCTTTGTAATTTTGAATATAAATACTAAATTTTATATATTTTAACAGGCCTTGCCCATTTCTTGTTGCTTTTTTTCTCAAGAAACTTGTTTCAAAATGTAGCTATTTGAACATCTTATAGTTTGTGAAACTCATTGTATAATTATGTTACCAAGCATTTTGATTTTGTTTGTTGCATTTCTTATTCATATATTTAATGTATCGTTATAGCTTAAGAAACTTGTTTTGAAATGTTGCTGTTTATTTATCATTTATTTGATACACGGGGTTACATTCTAACCCGACTGACACCAAACGATTTATAATTTGTGGGTTCATGCATTTGATGGTTCGGATTGGACCAAAAAAATCATTGACCCACACTTATGGGTTGAATACTTTCAATCAATAAGCTCAGCCCACATGCAGCCCCTGCACCCACCAACCTAAATGAAAAAACATAGACAATTTTTGTCATAAATTCATGCAACAATTAGCACTGTAATAGCTGGAACCTGGATTTTGGCGTAAAAGGCTTCTGCACAGATCCACACAATCTGAATGTAACTCCTCTAAAGCACCTTGTGGAAACTGGAGCTCAGTGGATGTCAAAATATTCTGAAAAAGCTGAGTGCAACAAAGAATCATAGATAACAATTAAAAAAAATTAAATATTTCAACACTACTAGCTTTTTTTGGTGGCAATCAGCTTCAAAATAAAAAGAAAGTCCTATTAAGTACTTATCATATGTTATTTTAAGTTAGATTCTTCCAATTACCTGATATTGACTATTGCCTTCAAACGGTGGCTTCCCAGTCACCAGCTGGAACAAAATGGCTCCAACACTCCATAAGTCAGCCTGCACAAACCCAGAAATTCAAATCATAGATGATAAAGTCTAATAAAAATTTATTGCAACCATCACTGTTCAGTTATATCACCTTTGCATCATACTTTTGATTCTGAATAATCTCTGGAGCCATGTATAATGGTGAACCACATAACGTATCGGCCAAATCTTGGGGTGTCAAGGACCTGAGAAATAAGTAAAAAAAAAAAAAAAAGGAAATGATCAAGGGCAAAAACATCATTAAAAAAAGAGACAAATCAGCTCAGTATTTTCCAGTTTTTGGTGTTCAGAAGTGAATGAGTTCCTACAAAATGTTAGCAACCTAATAAAATTGCCCAAAAAAATATTCTTGGTGGACTAGAATTTTCTAGACAATAGCTGTCATAGACTTAAATGATTTGATTCTATAACCTACCCTAAGAGTTAATTTTGTTATAGATGTCTAACAAATGTGATTAAGAGAAGTCTTTCATGCCTTCCGCCCCACTGATAATCCAATAATAAATCTACTCTTTCAGTAATATTGGCTTCTTCACCACCTATTTCAGACTACAATTTGAATTTCACAAACACTCATATGATGATGAGCTCTCTTCTATAGTTCTATCACTATGTCTACTTGAAAGGTAAACCATGAACTTAGGCAATGGCTCCCCTGATAACTTAAGAAATATACAGTCCTTGCACATATTTTGATGGAACCTTGGAGGCAAACCAAATAAATAAGATTAGGATACCTTGAGTTATTTTCAGCTTTTCAAAGACAAATGACCTTCAGTTAGTAGAAACTTGAAATGGTAGCATTTCAAGTCTCAGCTTAAAAAAAAATCACGGTTAAACAATTATGACAAATGTTTACAGATTTTGTTGATCCAGTACAGAGCACTGCTTGGAATTTCTATATGGAAAAAGGGGAAATATATCTAAAATATTAGACCTTTTACCAAAACACTCTTACCTTGCAAATCCAAAATCCCCTATCTTCAATTGTGGAGTTGCTTCATTTGATGACAAAAGTAGGTTCTGCAATAACCATGAGTTGCAACTTTAGCATTATGATCCAATCAGTAAAGATAAGAGACCTATCAATTATAGCCCAAAGTTTACCAAAATCAGATAGTATTACAAAAGAACACAACAGTTTTCTACAGAAGATTGTAGTACATGTAATTTACAGATGTTGCGCGGTTCCCTAATAATATGTTTGGATGAACATGGCATGAGGACATAACTAGTATAAAAAAGAGCTCAGAGCTAAATTAGAACTCTGACAATAAGCTGTACCTGTGGTTTTAAGTCCCTGTGAAGAAGATGTTTTTCTTGAAGCTCTTGCAATCCAGCAGCTACACAAACCAACCCACAACTTCATTTAGTTCCCACATGCAGGCTAGTAAAAGTAAAAGAAAAGAAAAGGATGAGGAGGAACACAATGATAACGAAAACGAGGAATGAGAATCCTAGAAGTAACGCCTCAAAACTTTCTTTGTCGAATATCTACTTAGTAACAATAGCATGTCAAATGTCCTTGAAACAGACAGAAAGTACTCATAAAGTTAATCAGGTTCTCAACAGCTAAATTGCAATTAAACGGCCACGAAGTACTTAACTGCATAAAATACTAAAAACATTACCCAATTGCACTAAGCATTAATTTCATTACAGTTTAACGGCCAAACGGTATTCAAGACAAAGCGGACCCAATTAAGTAATTATCATAATAAAAAATTGAACACAATTCAACAACTAAACGAGTATAGCAAGCTTAACCAGTGATCATATACGATACCCAATTGCCTCAGAAAGTGCCTCGCAACAGCCTCCGATACTTTGCCATGGCGATGAATGTACGCTGCAAGATCACCTCCATCGCAGTATTCCAACACGAGGAATATCCTATCTTCAGTCTGCCCACAATACAAGAGAAGAGAAAATCCCAAACAATAACAATTTTTCAAGAAAACGTGATAAAATAACATATCAAACTAGATAAGTGAGTTACCTCGATAGACTCGAAGAGGCGGATAATGTTGGGGTGATCGATAGTACTAAGAATGGAAATCTCTTTCAGCAAATTTTCACTAACTTTTGGACTAAGCAATTTCTTGTCAATCTCTTTGACAGCAACTTGTACAGAGGAGTACCGGTGCCTGGCCCGCCAAACCACGGCGAAAGAGCCGGAGCCAAGCCTGGGACCCAGGATATAGTCTCCGACCAAGCGGGTCTGCTGAAGGTCCATCTTCACCACAAAAGGCAGTGAAGTGAAGTGGACTAGGCCACAACTGGGTGTGTCTTTTTGTGCTGGTATACTACCGGTATAGTCATATCATGATGTCTAGTATTCATAGAGAAACAGTTAAACAAAAAAAGAAAGAAGAAAAAATCAAAATTTGTTTTGTCAGAGAAAGGAAAGGAAAGGAAAGGAAAAGGAAAAAGAAAAGAAAAAGGAGTGAGTTGATGTTTGTTGGTCTTGGTTGGATTAATATTTTATGCGTTTCTGTGTGGAAAAGACGCCGATACAAACACTAACACTTCGCATTTGCGGGAGCTTTTTCTGAAGGATTGGATTCCTTACTCATTCCTTTATGGGCTTTTCACTTACCATACAAAAACCTTTGGGTTCCCACTTACGACTCTGGACTTGGACCTAATCAAATTCTGACCCAGTCATCGCCTTTGCGTTTTTCCTGCGTTTACCTTGATGTGTCACTACTTGAGCAGCAAACCTAGATTACGCAGCCTGACAAGTGGTTACGTGGAGTACAGCGATGCATTGCGCTGACATAGCAACGCTATGACGTGTGCATGCTCGTTGACATGGATAGTTTGAGATGATGTGGCCCGTCACTAACGTGGACCAATTTGCTGATGCGGATAAATCAACGGCAGATCATTTTGCATGTGGGACGTCTACGTTGACTTGGGCCCATAATATTGACGTTAATTGTGCCGCGTCTGAGAGAGTATGGCATGTCACAGACACGTGGCATAATATGATGACACGTATGTATCCACGTGGCTAGAGATAGATGGCATTGTGTACCTGATGACGTGGCAATTATGACATGGATCAATGTCCTAAAATGAACAAATTGATGGCGCTGAATTTGCTTACGTGTAACGTCCAAACTGATATTGCAAACATTGATGACGTGACTGTATATTCATGTTGAGCCAATCAACGACATGGACACATGCTGACGTTTTTGGTAATTTTTTCTTCTTTGGGGACTATGAAGCGTTTTGCAGGTATTTTTGCTGAACCAAAATGGCGGGATGCAAACCCAGATCCAAATCGAATTCGGAGGCGCTTGTTGGAATGGAGGGAGAGAAACGGCAGAAACTTCCATAGAAGTGGATTTCCAACTGAGCCAATGAAGAAATAGAGCCGAATCAGCAACGACGATGTGATGAATTTGAAACGAGATTGAGTTTGGTCGGCGATATGAATAACACGTGATCAAATTCTTTTCTTCTTTCATTGTAGAAAAGGAAACCCTTATAGCCTAAACAATCACCTGTATTTCCTCTGCTCGCTAACCCTACCCGGGCTGCAGTAAAATTTCCTGTGCAAATGCCACGTCGGACACAAAAAACTCAATAAGCTAAGATTCCGCCACGTAATCCAAGTTAAGGAGGGTCACACGAAAATCAACAGAGGGAGACGGAATAAGTACAGATGTCAGTGCCTAGTGAGCTGAAAAGCGGGTAAGAGACAGCCCACGCTCGGCATTGCAAAAGATTAAGACCGAACGAATTAGGTTTTATTTAATTAAAAAGTAACAGTTAGATCTGACATTCCGTAATTCTCAAACTATATGCACAATTACATTTCCAATTCCAATCTCTATAGTAAGTATTATTTTATTATTTTATAGTACTACTACAAGATATAAAACCCTTTTTATTCAGTCTAAGCCATTCAACCCCTAAAATTACACAATTCTCTCTCTCTCTCTCTCCCTCTCGGGCAATGCAAACAGCCAAATACTTGCACTTAAGCACTCTGTTCGATTCAAAGTCCACCCTCCAACAAAATAAAAATATCAAGAAAAAGAAAAGAAAAACACTCTATTCCATATATGTATATTATCAAGTTATCAACTGTAGCCCATTTCACAGACCAATCTTCTCTCGTTTCTTTCCCCAACAACTTCTATGGCGACCCTCATCTTGCCATGTCATCACTTGTGGAATCCAGATTCATGCAACTCAAAAAGATAAATTCTTAATCAGCTAAATCATCAATTTAAACATTCCAAAAATCTCAAATTTTTGTTTATTAGCTAAATAGTATTAAGGGATATTGATCTAAAACTATATTTACATACTCTCATCTTTCTATTTTTGTATTGGGCTAATGTATATATAGCCAATTAATAATTTCCTGTACGAGTAATGTACCTAATTCTTGTTTGTTGCTATAATAGTATTGTATTACGGCTTCACAAGTACAAGTTCATGAATCTAACGTTATGTAGATTAGACTTACCTTTATAACTCTAACATTCACTTCGCTTCCAAATATACAATATTCTCCGCAGTCAACTCTTTTCACAGGCAAATGTTCTCTTCATTTTTTACTTTTCTTCTTCTTCTTCTTCTCCTCCTCCTCTTTACACTGCTCTGTCACTGTCACTCACCCATTCCCCGTTCTCTCCCTAATGAATGCAATGAGAAATGTGGAAAGTTTCATATCCCATTCCCATTTCACTTGAACATTTCTTGTGCTACAATTTCTCCTGCTTTCCATCTCTCTTGCACAAACTCCACCACTCTTTACCTAAACATTGACTCTCAAAGCTATAAAGTTCTTGAATTCTTCTCTGATGGTATTTTAGTAGACTTTCCTGGTGCTTCAACTTGTCGCCAATACAATGATTTGAATTCCTTTCGTTTTAGTGGAAATGATCATTTTGGGATATCTTCAAATAATGTTATTGGCTTATATGATTGTGAAGATTCTTCTTTGTGCAAGGCAGATTGTGAAACCATTAACTTGTCAGACTGTGATGGCAACTCCAATGCATCTCCTGCTTGCTGTTATCCACTTTCTGATCACAGTTCATGGAATTTAGGAGATGGCTTTTCAGTTTTTTCTAAGTTTGGATGCAGAGGATTCTCTTCTTGGGCTGTTACTGGAGGTTCTAATACTGGAAAACGTGGGGTTAAATTAGAATGGGCTGTTCCTGCTAGGAATTATTCTATGGGAGCCTGTGCTATCAATGCTAACACTGTCAATGCCACTTCAGTTGAAGGAGGTGTAAGATGCAAATGTCAGGATGGCTTTGTTGGGGATGGCTTTGCCACTGGAGTAGGATGTTTGAAATGTAATAAGTAGCTAGCTTTAAGCTTTTCCATTTTTTCCCCGTTTTAATTTGGTTAAGGTCAGGGTTTTTGACATTCGATTTGAAATTTGACTGTTTTGATATAATTCTGTTTCATGGACAGCCTGTATCAAGAATGGAGTGGAAGCAAATGGAACAGATTGCTACACAAAAAGGCAAAGTGGAAAAGAAGTGTCCATTTTAGCTGGTAGGTGAATGTCATATGTACATTTTTTTATTCTATTTCTGATTACTGCAAGAAAAATTTCCATGATTCTTGAATTTGCAGGAGTTGTTGGCCCAATATTTATTATTGTGTCCCTAATTGCGCTGTTCTGTCTCTTAAAACGACCTGGTAAATCTGGTTCGTATGATCCTGACCAGGCACATTTCCATAGTACTATCTCATTCAGAAAAGCTTGTAGAACTAGATTATTCACTTACCATGAGCTTGAGGAAGCCACTAAAGGATTTGAAGATGCTCAAATAATTATGCATAGCTGGAATGGTACAATTTATGCAGGTGTTCTTGCTGATGGGTCACATGTCGCGGTGCACAAGGTAAATTGCCAAGATGAAAGAGATGTAATGCAAGTTCTATCGCGCGTCGAGGTATTATCTGCAGTTTTACACAGAAATATGGCACGCATTCTGGGATGCTGTATTGACTGTGGCTACACTCCTCTAGTAGTCTATGAGTATCCTGCAAATGGCACACTAGAGGAACATTTGCTTGCAAGTAAAGCACAAGGCAAAACTGGACTCGATTGGTACAAGAGAATGAACATTGCTGCAGAAATAGCTTGTGTCTTAACTTTTCTGCAGTATGAAATTATTCCTTCCATTTTTCACCACAGTATAAAATCTGGCTGCATATTTTTAGATGAAAACCTCTCAGCTAAAATCGCTGGATTTAGACTATTTGAATCAAACCTTCTAAATGAATCTTCTCCAAATAATAGAAGCGATGTTTATGAGTTTGGTGTTATGCTGCTAGAATTAGTGACAGGGTCAAACACTAGCAACAAAGACCTTCCAGCTTTAGTATTGCAGAAAATAAGAAACGGAAAGCTAGAAGAAATAGTGGATCCAAGTCTTTATTATCATGAGCAACCGTCTTTTCGCAGAGAGCAAATAGAGATAGTTGCAGACCTTGCAACTCGATGCCTGTTATTTGGTGGAGATGGAAAAATTGGGATGATAGAAGTGGCAAGAGAGCTTGTGCACATCACAAAAGATAGTGTTGATGGTGGTAGCAAAAGAGTACCTGCACTTGAAGAGACATTTTCTAATTCAAGCCTCCTGCAAATGATATCTAGGTCTCCTGATTCTATATATCTTCCTTAACTGCAATTAATTGTCATCATCGCTATATATAGTCAGAAGGCAGCTTTTATTTTTTATTTTTTTAATTCATCTGAGTTTTAATGGGCCAGAATAATGATTTGGACTACATAATAACAGTAGTTCTCTTCTGAAATCACCGAATTGATGAAAATACATGTGATCGAGAAGGTTCGAATTTGAGATATCATACTCCTCACACAAGTAATAAAATCAAACAGAACACATCATGATTGGCAATATATTAAATTATTTAATAGAAGACCAAAATTTATAATATTTATAATTATTTTTACAATTATTATATAAACGCTGAATCATGCAAATTCCATAATGCAATTTGACAAAAATTAATAGACATTTTCTAACTATATATTAGCTATAAAAATAAAAATGTTAAGTTATATATATATATATATATATATTAGAAGAACGTTAAGCTATATTTAAGATGAGATAATTGAAATGAAATTCCATTACCTTATTCGAATTACAATCAACAAATTTGTCAATAATCTCATGAGAAAATTAATGAATGGAATCCAATTTTATTGATTTCTTCTAAAAACTATTTGGACAGTCAAATGCAAAAATAGGACAAGTTTTTTGTCGATCATTTTTTATTTTCTCTTAAAAAGAATTCTAACCACAAATTATGTACGGGAAATAAAATAGGAAAAAGTAACTAATTTTGAATGTTCAACAAAATAGGAAGGTGGGTTAATTCCTACCAATGCTGAGTTCGCTCCACATCGGACACGAGGCAGCAAATCCATGATCATTTGACCCACTCATCCATCTTTCTCCCTTTCTTTTTCCATATTTATAAATTATGACTTCATATATAAATACACGCTCAATGCAGGGTTAGGATCATTACCCGTTCATTTTCTCAGTTTCTATCTCTATGCATTAGTGCTTCATCAATCAAGGTATGTGTGTTTTTCTTTCTTCTTGGATCGTATTCATCCACAAAAACTTCATGCTTCGTGGATCGCATGGTAAAGTTTTAATTCTTTTTTTGGGTTTCGTGCATAGGCGCAAATCCCATCAGCTTACACATGTATGTAACAGTAGTAGTAATCTTGTATAGTTTTAAGAACTTTGATCCAGCTTTTGCTTAAAAGCAAAGCTCTTCTATCTCTGCTTTTATCAATGATATGGTCCGTATCCTAGGCCCTAGATAGTCTTGGTCAAGTTCTAATGGATTTTTAATCCAGAAAAAATCGTAATCTCCAAGACAGGGCCTGTTAAAATAGGGTGTGTTCTTGAGAAATTTGAGGGTTCCTTGATTTTTCGGATTTCTGAATGCTGATCCATGATATACATATTTTTTTGGTTCCTTTATCTGGGTTGCACTGGATTCTTGTTCTAATCTTTATAGATTTGCCTATCAATATTATGACTTACTGGCTTCAAATTAAGTTCGATGTCAAAATGTACTAATTAAATTTGGGGTTCAGCAATAAACGATGAGACATCAGTACCATTTTATTCCTTTTGGTTGCAGATGGCCGAAGTAACCAAAAATGGAAACGACAAACCTGCAATGCCCCGTTTGAATGAGAGGATCCTTTCATCTATGTCAAAAAGAACTGTTGCTGCACATCCTTGGCATGATCTTGAGATTGGTATGCAAATACAAGTGTCTTTTTGTTTTTGGTATTTTATCCCCTTTTCTTCACAAGGTGAAGAACTGATGTTCCTGCAAAATAAATGTCTTCTGCAGGACCTGGAGCTCCCCACATCTTTAATGTTGTATGTGTTTGTCTCCACTTTTAAATTCTTAGCTCTCTCGTTGAATTGTAAGTGTTTTCTATTGAATTATGATTTGCAAACTGATATAGGTAGTTGAGATAACGAAGGGGAGTAAGGTCAAATATGAACTGGACAAGAAGACAGGATTGATTAAGGTAGGACACTATCAAATTTGAGCTGCATTTTTTGTGGAATTTTAGTTTACATGAGGCTCCTATCTTTCTCTCATTATTATTTCCTGTGCTCAATTAAATAGGTTGATCGAATTTTATATTCATCAGTGGTCTATCCTCATAACTATGGTTTCATCCCCCGCACATTGTGTGAAGACAACGATCCTTTGGATGTTCTGGTTCTCATGCAGGTGACTTATGACTAGACAATAATCTTGGATTTTGTGCCAAAGATGATGTTGCAATTTAGTCCTTTCTATCCTAATTGAACTGTATGTGAGCTTTCATTTTGACATTTTGATCTAAATAAAATGTTGATCTGAATAGGAACCTGTCCTTCCTGGTTGTTTTCTGCGAGCCAGGGCCATTGGACTTATGCCCATGATTGACCAGGTAATTTTCTGGAATTTGAAACCAAAATGAAGCACTGATACTCATTACCCTTATTAGTTATCTTCACTAATTTGGTCTTCTAATTCAGGGAGAGAAAGATGACAAAATCATTGCAGTTTGTGCTGATGATCCAGAGTACAAGCACTACACAGACATCAAAGAGCTGCCTCCTCATCGCCTTTCTGAGATCCGTCGTTTCTTTGAAGATTGTAAGCTTTCCACCCTCAAAATGGCTAGTTCTAATTTCATTAATTTTTTTTTCTTCAAAAAAAAAAGAAAAAATTTTTTTCTTTTCAAATTTTATTGACAATTTGATGAATAGTGGTTCCTTAATTTATCTATGCAGACAAGAAAAATGAGAACAAGGAGGTTGCAGTTAATGAGTTCTTACCTTCAAATCATTCTGTTGAAGCCATCCAGTACTCGATGTAAGTTTCTCCAGATGCACGACAAGATTTGCACCTAGATAGTGCTTTGAGTAATTTCTCCCCAGTCTGAAACAGTTCCAGTTGGTTATGACTTATGAGTTTCTTTGCTTGTTGCTTGTTACAGGGACCTTTATGCTGAATACATTCTGCAGACCCTGAGGCGATAGAAGAGCCAAAGGCTATGCTGCATAATTTTTGTCCCTGGGAGTTTCATTATTTTGAATAAGTTATTTAATCAGTGACTGTTAAAATGATACTTCAAATTTCTTTTGTTTTAACAATGCTGTAAGAAGCAGTTATCTGTGATATCTGAATATAAATGGTTTAATTGATCATTTTTTACACTCAAAGTGGAAGCTGCCAATTACTTTGTGCATTATATACAACATTCAAAAGGCTCAATTCTCATTGCAGAATATATAATATGTTCCAGATAAACACACGTTCTTTCCGAAGATGTTATTTTTAAATTCTAAACAAGGACAACAGTAGAAGAATCAGGACAAGTAATTGATGTAATTCACGTGAGGTAATGTCCCAGCTTTAAGAATGGGGTTGGGGGGGTACGAAGACATTTCAGATGCTTGAAATTTCCATCGAGAACTTTACCGAGAGATGGGTCATGGGTAGCCTCCGTTTGTAATGACTAATGAATGCAGTTGCATAATTTTATTATGTTGTTTATATAGTTCATTATTTCACATTTTTGCTACAGGGATAGAAATCTGCATTTTTTTCTTTTTTTCTTAGTCGTGTTTAGCACAAGAATATATTAGATGTAAGAGAAAAAAAGAATGGCACATAAAAGGTGCACAGATACACGAGCAATGGTGCATTGTTGGCCCCACATGGTAAATGCTAGTTTAGAGCTAAACTATAGGTACAGATTCAGACTACTAAACCACGAGCGCCAAACGACTGGTAAGTTTGCGGTCGATGGCTATAGGGAGATTAGCGCCAGAAATAAGGTCACGTCACGTGTAATCAAAGGTACACAATGTCATGAGTACCATTTGTTCAAAAGTTCCAAGAGGAGAACTGCAGCAGAGTCCTTGGCCTTTTTAACGCTAGGCATTGGCTCTCCCACACATTCGTCGGTCCATCCCCGATCAGTAGTATTCACCCGAACTGCAAACGTAAACCTCTTTGCATGTGCAGGGCCACCCTCATTCACACACCTTAAAATGTCAAATAGCAAGTTACTTCATTCTATTCTTACTGTTAAGAAAATAACAAGGTGATGCAAAACCATATAAAAACTTTCTTACCGATAAGAGGGCATAGGCCAATTTCTTCGCAAGCAAATATCATTTAAGGTTTGCCTGGTAAATGTTTGGTTACCATTTTTCTTCTTCTTCCCATTCTCATCACCCTTTTCCCTGGCTTCAGCTGTTTCCTTCTCTTTCAAAACAGCAAGTGCATTCCTAGCAGCAAGTTTCTGGGCCATCTTCTTTTGCGGATTCTGAGCAACACCTATCTGGATACCATCAATGAAAACTTCAACAGTAGCCAGATTGCCACTTCGTGTGGCTTTGTATTCCAAGCCTTCAGCCTGCTGCTGGCACCGTTCTTGCAGTTCCCTGACGGGATGCATGGGAAGTGTTTCTGGAGTGACCATTGGATGCAACAAGGGTTGAAATACCTAGCACAATAGGATCGTAAGAGGAGATCATCCTTATCAGATATCCCTGTTTCTAAACAGATCAACGAGAGAGAAAGTTGGGGTAAAGAGGGGGCGTATGGCTGCCAGATCCATGATTTAAACTAACCTTCCAAACAACTGCAGTATCTCGTCCACTGTCCAGGAAGATGGCACCTGCAATAGATTCAACAATGTCTCCAAGAACCTTTGGAGCTTTGCAATCTCCCAAGCCAAAGGAATTGAAACCTGGCTTTGATAATTCATCTTGAACTTCCTTCACAAAGTCTCTGATCTGATATAGAAGTCCGCAAAATATCAGGACCCAGTACAAGTGATTTATTGAAGTTAAATAAGAAAAGCCCAATCAGTCTACCACACCACTAATTACTAAAGGAAAAAGATAGCAAACCTGCTTTTCAAGGGCACTTGACCCATGCCTAAGATGCACATGGAGCTTATGTTTAACTGCTACACGTGCAAAATTTTCGTTATTTACAGCAGCAGCTCGCAAATCTGTTAGACGACCTGGGGGAAGATTTGTGTACGTGAAAAACAAGTGCCTTGTAATGAGATGATCTAGGACAGCATCCCCAACAAATTCTAATCGTTGGTAACAGGATACTCCAGAAGATGGTCGTGATGCATGAGTGATGGCCTCTACCAAGAGGCCCCGATCTTTGAACATGATATTTAGGGCACCTTCTAGGGTATCAAAATCAATGCTTCTAAGTACACTTTCTGGAACATTAGACGGCCTTATTGCAGAATCTATCTCTTCACGATCAAAATCAACCTGAATACCAATCCATTTCATGAGGTGGTTTGCTGCATTCTTACCATCTTCAACATAATAAACACCAATCAATGCTTCAACAACATCTGCCAAAGTCTTGCTAGAAAGGACTCTATAAGAACTAGAGTCACTCTCAAGCTCGCCATCCTCAATTTCATCATCTTCATACCCATCATTAGCCTGGTCGACTCCTGGTTTATCCTCAGGAAGAGATTTTTCCTGATCAAATAAAGAGTTATCCCCATCTTTTGTATCTTCGTCAAAGACAGGCAACACCCCAGGAGCTGCCCATCTAGATGGAGCAAAACGATCTGCCTGGATGTAAGATTGGAGTCCCTTATTCAAGGCATATTGATACAAAACCATGTTACTCACCATTTGTTGTCTCATCCTAGTGAGTTGACCCTCATGTTTCTGAGGATATTTAAGAAAAAGAAATCGACTGACAACCCATTTGAGGTAAGCATCTCCTAGAAGTTCTGCTCTTTCATAGCAGAATGTCTCTTGGCATGAAGCTGCAGTCAAGGCTTCCAAGATCTGCAGGTATATAAGGGGCACACAAATTAAAAGGTAGTCCAAATGCCACAACCTTCATTTTTTTTGTTAGAACTCTACTACACAAAATACCTTTGAAGCAGGGACTGGATAATTTATTATATCCTTAAGTTGAATTGCTAGAAGCATGCTTTCGACCCTCCTCATTATTGATGGCAATCTTTGGGCACCTCGAACAAGTGATCCAGGAAGAGGGTGTACCAAACATAGCTCAAGAGGAAGAAAAACATAGTATGTTTTGTCAAGAATCTCTTCAGATTCACCTTCATTTACTGCAGAAATCACAAAAACACCCTATTTAGCTCTAGAGACTACACAAATGTGAAGCAGACATTGTAGGCAGAAATGTCTTGCTCTTTGAAGGATGAGATAAAGAAAAACATACATTCTGAGTGTTCAAATCGAGGAGATAAAAGGTTCTTGCAGTATGAAACACCACGTCCTCTTATTAAAGGCTGTTGCTTAAAAATCAAATGGACTCCATACCTGATAATGTAAAAGACCCAATAGCCCAATGCAACCTCTGTTGTGCAAGAAGAAACAAAAGCTTTTCAATCTGCAAGGACTTATAAAACTACTGCCACTGAAAAAGGTGTGGAACAAGTTCCATATCCCACACAATTTACACCAATCAGTAGTTAGATAATTCTGTTACAGATTCAAAAAAGCTTTCCCTTCTTCAGGCACAACATCTGAAGTGCACTGAGGCTACGAAGTCCTTGCATTAGAAACAGATATAAACAAGCTATAAAACCTCCTCTGCAGGAGAAATAAAATTTTCCTTTAAAAAATGGGGGAAGAAAAAAAGGATGATAAAGTAGCATGATCATACTTCTGCTTGTAATAATCAGCATATGAGCTATACTCTAACGGACCAAGATAACCCTCTTTCCTTGGGAATGAATTTTCAGCAGTCATGTCATAGCGTATTGAATCTACATAGAATCTTTTCCCAGAGTGTGCAGCTGTTACGATTCTCCCAACCAAATCTTCAGCACTGACACAACTATCAGCCATTATCAGTTTGCCTTTGAGTAACTCCACTTTTTCCACTGCAATCCCATCCCGTTTAGGAACCAATCCAGAAGCTTTCACAACATCAAATTGTGCTACAGCTCCTCTAATACCATAGGTGGGATGAGATTTCTGTCCAAAAGCCATGCCATGACGCAATTTCCCAAATCCATACTCCCTTCTATCTCCACCAAGTGTCCTCTCATTTGTACCAAGGTAAACATCTGGCCGAGCCTTCTGAAGGGGATTCCTCCATGCATCTGTTCTAATTATTTTTTCAACTAGATCCCAGTCAATTTCTTTTACAGGATCTACAGACTTATCGCCAACCATAGGGACAAACAAATATGCTTTTGCAGGATCCCATGGAGTGGTGGAAGGTTCAACATCCACATCCAGTACAATGCTCATCAATCTCACATGAAAACTTTTAAGGGATGCCAGCTGCATATTAAATTTTAAATGATCAAGACAGAGAAGACATAATGCCATTAGAAAAGGAATGGTAAAAGTTTATCCATTTCAAATAGTTTGATTGAGGACCAACCTGATTTTCAGTAATATTTATTGACCCCCTGAAGACAAGAGATGCCTTAGTGATAATGGTTCGAGCGATAAATAGATCCATCGACATCGATAAGACCTATAACAATTAATCCAATTAGAGATGAGCACTTCATATATCCTACCAATGCTATAACTTCATATGCAGTGGTGTTTCGTAAAACTGAAATTTAAGAGCTAAATTTTAAGCATTGAACAATAGAATTGCTGAAATTCTAAAAGCCAAAAAATTCAATAGGTGCAAATTTTAAGTTAAAATTTTTTGACTGATCATTATAATTGAATTTTTGCTCAACTGAAAGTTTTAAGTGATATGAAGATAAGCATTGCAAAACAACTTAACTAAAAGCACTAAAAATTCTAATTGTATGCGCTGAATCATGTTATCAAACACCACGTAAGTTAATTACCTCTGCATCCAGCTCATTGCCAAAAAGCACAGCAAATTCTGAAACTTGGGTTAAGAATGGATCTTTTGAAGTGCCGCTGTTTACACATTTTACAGCATACATATAAAGATGAAGTAATTTGGAGCTATTGCAACCATCTCTTCCACATAAGATCCATTCTCCCTGAAAGGCCAAAATAACAAACATGTTTTATAGGTGACATCATGAATCACAGTATTTTAATTTCTTTCTTGATGAACTACCACAGTACCAAAACCGCGAACATTAACTGGGTACTTGATAAATCAATTCTTACTTCTTTGAAAAATGCCAAGATCTTCTCATCATGAACTATTATTGCTATAGCATTTTCCTTTTCATTCAACATTCTTTTGATTAATACCTTCTTCCCAAGAACAGAATGGCAGAGAACTTGAAATTCCAGGCAGGACTCAAGAAAGAATAAAGTACATGTATTAACAGGTGAATAGTGCTCTCTGGCTTTGTAATTTACAAATTCAAAATCTCTTAAGACTCCAAGACTGAGACACAGTGACTATGCATGTAACCATGAAAAATTTTAAGGACATGATTTTACCATTGTTCCCTCATAGTGGACCGTAACTATACCATATTTTAATCTCTCACATAAATAATCAAAATGAGAAATAGAATGTCATTTAGACATAGAAAGTATACATGCTCATTCATTTCATCAACCACTCATAAAAATCCAAGGTCTTTTTTTTATAAAAATAATGGCAATTAAATAATGAAGAGACAACTTTATTATTTCTATCTCCTTTAATGAACACCCAAAAATAAAAACAGCCATGCTTAACTTCCCGCATTTCTAACATAATCAGTTCCAACACATTCAACATAAAATAACTGTTCCCAACAGAGATCATAAACTTCCAGACTCTATCTAGACACTAATAATAAGTTATAACAATACAGTGCCAACGAGATAAAATAGAGAGAGAGAGAGAGAGAGAGAGAGAGAGAGAGAGAGAGAATCAACAACCATCTCAAATTCCGATGGCTCAAAAGCCTAAGTTTTTACTATTTTTCATATGCTTACTGGTCATTGAAAGACAGATTCAGAGAAAAAAAAAAATTCAAAGAAGAAAGGCAAAGAAAACAACATATTTGAATGTCCAATTCAAAATTTAAGATTTTGATTTCCCACAGAGGAAAAAGTAAACAAGAAAAAAAAGCAACAGACTAAATAAAAGAAAAAGATAGCGCTGCAACTCACTGTCTCACACTATTAACTGATAACAAGGCAACGGTCAGATGTTATTTAACCACCAAAACCATCGGGATATTTAAAATCTTGATTGCTAGCTGTATCTTGGAAACCTCAGATGCAGAAAATAATGGGATATGAATGCAAACAGAGAAAGATAGAGAGAGAGAGAGAGAGATGTTTGTAGTCCAATACAAACGACTATATCCATGTTTTAATGAATTTCTCAATTACCAATCATCAACTAGAAGGCAGTGATACTCATTTGACAAACTAACCTGGAGTATATTGGCTACACCTTCAGGATAGAACTCCCTATGCCTAGCAGTCCCAGGAAGTGGTTCACCTTCGTCATTTTGGTCAACCTTTTCTCTTTCTTCCCCACTTCCCTTGTCTGGCAAGAGCATGTCAGTAAATGCTCCCATCTCATGGAGCTTCTTGCAAGCAGCCAAACAAACAGCCTGCACATTACGCAGACAATCAATACAGTTTCTTAAAAGGAAGTTAGTGAAGCTAACAAGAATGCAATAACAAAATAGCGTGCCTGTTGTGCAAGGCGCATTGAACTGCAAACAGGACCCTCAAGTTTCTCAAATGGTGCATTGCAAGGAAGTTGAAGCTTGCATGAATATTCCGTTGGACCTCCTGGCTTCTCGTGTCTCTCCATAATGAACTCAGGACGAAGTATTGAATACCTGGATAACAAATGTAGCAGAACAAGAAATTAATCTTTTGCCAAAAAAAGGCCAATTGTTAACCTTATAGGACCTAATTTCAGCACTGGTTACTGAATTCGCAGTGAACTTGAGCACAAATACTAAACTTTTAAATTGTATCCAGAAAACCATTAAACTAAGATTTGGTTTCATAAGGTAATTACCGCATATTTTTTTAGAGATTTGAACAAAGTATTGAACTGCTGACTAAACAGAAATTAAGCCAAAATTTTAATATGCTTTATATAGCCTATTTTCATTGTAAAACTAAAATAAGAAAAGCATTATTTGGTTATCATGTAAAAGATCTGGCCGAAATTTAGTGATAGTAACCTTGTTGAAACTAAGCCAAAGTTGATCAATTTTGCTTTAGTAACAGTAATAAAACTACTGGTAAATCAAATGAGCATATATGAAAGTCAAGTGATTAACGCACCTATCACTTGGTAGCTGAGAACAATAAAAATGGATAAGCCCAACAGCAGAATTCAAGCTCACAACAGCACCAGTAGACTCCACTTGGTACACAGTTCCTGGTACTGTATCAACAGAAATCAATCTTGATGTATCCTTAAGGTGACTAAGGTCAGTTCTCTCAATTGCTTCTTTCCGCAAGGTCTCCTCACTATTCCTAGCGTTCCTTAAGAATGCTCCATGAGACAGATTACCCCTGAGATTTTAAAAATATTTGATTCTTATATCCGTTACTAGACTGAGATAACACGGACAATGGAACAGATCCGAGATGGTTACCTCTCCACCATCAAGATATAATCTGAACCAGGCTTTCTTGCACGACCTCTAGACTGAATATATGCCAGTACAGTTTTTGCAAGATCAAAGCGAATAACAACATTGCATTGCCTAATATCTAGTCCTTCCTCAGCAACACTGGTAGCAACTAACAATGTCACCTGCAAAATTGATGCAGCACCATCTTACGTACCTGCTATGAAAATTGTAAATTTAACAAAGTTAAGTTATCCTTTGCTTTTGAACATACACGACCGTCTCGAAATTTGGCAATTGCATCCTGCATCTGCGATGTCCGCATTTCTTGACTATTGTTATGCCCGATCAAACTTGCACATCTAACGAAACTCAGAGATGGAAGCTCTGCAAGAACCTGCAAGCTTGGCAAAAAATAGCAAGGTAATGTGACAACCTTGGAACAGAAACAAAATCATACAGACCCAATAAAATTTATGTATTAACATATTTAACCTTCGGAAGAACTAAAGCCGCTACTACTCGCTCAACAAAGATGATTGCACGAAAATCCTCTGTGTGCTGATATTTGAGAAGTATTTTTATTAGTGACTGCACTTTTGGGGTCACTTTTCCATCAGCAACAGCAGCCCCTATTATCACATCCACATGCTCTCCACCGGAGACAACTACACCACCAAAGTACACAAGCATAACAAAAGTATGAAGCATCAAATTTAAAAAAATAAATAAATAAACAAATTGAAAACTTGAAAAACTTAGTAACAAAGAAACAACACATGCATGCCCCTAGCAAGTCAGTCAAGGCAAGTTGTTGGGTTGACTATGCAGCTGCAGCTACATTGAAGGTCACACAGGTGGGTTGAAATTCCCCAAAGTGTCCTTTATGTTGCATATGGACCATCCAGAAAAGAGTTCAATGATCATAGTAGCTTTATGCATCCCACTGCACCCGTAAGAGATCTGATTTCCCAGATTACTTATCCTTTCCCGCGGAAAAGAAAAAGAAATAATGAACGAACTACTCACCGTGACTGTCAGGAAGCTCCCCTTCTTCAATCTCATCAGGATCAGTCCCATCTTGAGCAATTCCATTCTCGTTGTCAGGAGATTTTGCTTCCTTGTCTGCCACAGCTCCCTCTGTTAATTGACACTGTAAGAGTGAAACAACTTTTTCCAGGTAGGATTCCTGAAACTTGACATCAAGCTGGTAATTTGCCCTCTCATCATTTTGTAAAGCCATCAGAAAGGACTGCGCAACCTGCAAAAAGACATGGAAAATGTAAATGTTCTACCAAAAAATTACCTTTGTTAATGAAGCTGGACAAAATAAACTGCCTGGTAAACCGCTACCTTGTAAGCACACCACTGACCCAGTTCACCGAGTGCATAATTGATTGCCCTCAACTTTTGAATCAAGTTAGCTGCCCCATCACTTTCTGTTCTTTCAGAGACACCATAAACTTGGCGCAGCTCTTCCTTAGCCCCAGCATCTCTAGCTCCCATAAATTGCCATTTACTTTTTCGTGAACTTGATTGTGCAGCTTCTTCAACAGCCACTTCCATTTGCTTTAATTGTTCATGAAGGGACCATAAGCTGGCTGCTTTGTCATACTCCACCACAATTTCCGATGGCATTGGCACATGTTTTTCCAGTTCTTTGCGGTCTTTTATTGTACAAACTATGGAATCTAGTTTACTTTCAAGGTTACGGATTTTTATTGCACAATCGAACTGACTTGAAACACCTGAACAGGAAACAAATCTGAGTTGTAACAAGGAAGCCTAGCTTGAAGTACTTAAGCAAGGGAAAAACAAACTCATGACTGACTGCAAATCTCGATCAAAGAGACCCTCCAGCTAGGAAAGTTAATAACTTCGAAAGAAGCATAAATGCAGGCAGAGAACAGAGTTGAGATTAAATTATTACCCTTTAAGTTAACAGGAGAAGCAGTCATTCCAAAAACAGAGGGTCTTTTTTCCTTTTGTGTTGTATGATAAAACTCAGACATCACCAAAGAATATGGATGTTTCTTCACAGCATGATGACACTCGTCCAGAATAAGGAGATCGATTGCTTCCATTTTAATTATGCTGTGTCTCAGAATGTTCAACAGAATTTGGGCTGTCATCACTAAAACCTGCAGGGAGAAAGTGCAACGGAATTAACCGGATCAAATTTAAATTGGAGAAAAGAAAGCTGAAGATGGAAAATCCACTGTTTTAAACAGGAACAGATATCAATTGAAACATTAATGAAATGGATAACCTAACAAAAATTACATGAACTAAACAATGATGACAAAAATATGGAGCAGGAAGTTCCCTGCTTTATAAAGGAGCATGTTAGCAGCATAAGAGTAAGTAGACAGATCATTTGAGTTGTTAATCGTATCAAGAACGACAATATAAATGAACAATTTCTGTTCCACAAGCAATGGGCGTGCGTGCATAATCAGGCTTCTAATACAGCTACTTATAAAATGCAAGCAAATGCCTGTACTAATGTACACTCAAAAAAAATTCAGACTCAACCTAATAAAACTGTTATTCTCCGAAACAAATATTGCGTAGAAGGACAGATAGACCAAGAAATGTTCAGAAAGCCCGGGGCAAGAACATTTTTACTCATAGTTTCTAGCACGCCTTCCCAAAATATCAATCCAAGATGGAAAGAACAGTAAAATACCTCAAATCCACCCCAAATCCCATGCCAAAACTATATGTCAAATCAATAAATTTCCAGAAGGCATGCCACCATAAAAAACCAATTCAGGAACAAGGGAAATATACAGGACAATGCAAGAACGAACTATGAATTCTGTTGCTTCTTTCCCAACGGGCACTATCAAGGCTAAAATCTCCACAAGACCTTCTAGTAACTACTTGTCAGTGTTCAGCTCTAATAATTTTATGGGCCATTGACTACTCTGAATCTCAGGAACCCCAAGTTTGGAGATCTTAAATGTTCACTAGAAGGCACAACAACACAACCTTTATTATGTAAAACAAAAACTCATATTACCAACAGATTCAGAATTAAGAAGCTCAATAAGAGAATCAATTAGTTACTTTGCATTTGATTAATTTCACTTTCCTCGACACCATTTGGACAAACCAATGGATCATTATGCCTAATCAGAAAGCCTAAAATTGTAAAAGAATGCATCATTGAAAGAACACCACCTGTCATCTAGCTTTCAAAATCAAACTTAAAACCCCCCTGAACATGGATTAACATTCAAAATCTTTCTTTGATACCAATGTTTTGTTCCCCCATATGCCAAGGACATGATTAGCCATAATAGCTAAACAACCTTAGCAATCATGAGAACCAATTGGCACCGTCAGTTTCAACAGTAGCATGTGACTCATAATGTTAGTATATCACAATAGGAATTTTTACACCATCTGGCGGCAAACAAATTGACCATGTATAATTTGTATCAAACTAGAAAGCCAGAGCATATGGAGAGCAGTCAAAAGTATAAAAGCATAAAAAGTTAACATAGAAACTTCAAGAGATACCTGTTTTGAGTCGAACTCACGCTGCCACCTTCGAGCATCCCAGAAATCTTGACCCATTTCACCACAGTAATGGCCCACTTGGTAACCAGTACGCTCACGAATGACTTCGGCTTGCTGAAATTAAATTAAAAAGAACGCCAAAGCTATCAACTAACTCCCTTGTTCAATCGACATCGTCAAAGTTCTATCCTTAAACAGAACATATCTTTATAATAGAATACCTGATAAACAAGCGGAACCTTGGGAACCAAAAATACAGCAAGCATTTTCTTGTTCTGCCTTTGCAAGTCATTACAAAGGCTTTTGATCAGAAGTACCGCAATGAGGGTCTTCCCTGCACCAGTTTCAAGAAAAGCAATAGTGTTTTTCTTCTTAGCTTGTTCAAGAACATCTAATTGATATTGGCGAGCTTGCTCCTCAGGGAGTTTCTCCTTAGACTCCTCAGATTTCTTCTCTTGCTTTCCATTACACTCATGATCTTTGTCATTGGTTTCCTTTCCTTCTTTGTTTCGGTCAGCTTCCCAAGTACCTATGCGAAAAACCATCTCATTGGACCCAGAACGGTCCCTCTCCCAATAACCCCTCTGTTCTCTATCCTTCCAATCCCTATCTCTACCATCCCTCCTAGAGCCACCATTATACCTATTTCTGCGAGGATGATCCCTATCCCTGTCCCTCCTATCAATATCATCCCAATCCCGCAGTCTCTTTCTGTTAGAGCTTCTATCCCTATCCCTTGGATCATACTGCCCTCGACTAGAGTACTGTCTATCTCTATCATTCTTGTAGCTGGTAATCCTAGCCCTTTTACAACACCTTTCTTCACCATCAAAACCTCGTTCCCTCAGCCCCTCGACACTGCCCTTATTCCCATTTTCCTTAATAGAACTGTTCAACGAATTCAAACTCTCTTCCACTCTTCTATCCAATGAATTCAATCCATTACTAAAATTCTCCACCTGGCCATTACTTTCAAAATTGATTTTACCATTGCCATTTGATTGCAATGGGGTGTTTTCATTTGTACTTGTGCAGAAGGCAGCTGTCTCATTCTTAAACCACCCGTCCCCAACATTACAGTCCTGAATTCCATTGCCAACAATAGCCGGTGTACCATTACTACTGGTGTTATTGCTGTCAGCAATTAGAGGCAAGCCGCTACCATTCTTGATGCTATCAAGAATGTGATCAATACCTCCAAAGAAATCATTAACGAGATTATCTTGATTCGAAGTATCATCAATGGAACCTTGAACAATTGAAGTATCAAAATCAACAAAATTGTCAATAAGATCACAGGAGATGTCCTCACAGGCATCCAGCCAGTAAGAGGGGCCGCCACCAGCCAAAGTCCCTGAAACCCTAGTCTCACCGTCCGTCATAGTAATATGCTAAAAACAATACAACAGAACACACAATACTCCAACAAAATACTAAATAGAACTAAAGCAAAAACAGCAAAAAGATTACAACACTACAAATTAAATCTCTTTGAAAAGGAAAGAAAAAGGAAAAAGAGAGAGCTGCAAACAAGCTTAAAGATCTTGATGAAGCTGCAAAATTAGTGTATGAAAGATACAGAGAGAAAGAGAGAGTGGGTAAAGAATGTAATTGCAGATTAGGGTGGATAGACCGTACGAAGCACGCAATAGTTAAGGGTGGGGTTGCAAAATGAGAGAACCCAAAAAACAACCAAAAACCCAGAACTTTTGTGAGTGATTCTTTTAGATTCCACGGTCTATCAACCCTTATTCTGCTTTCTCTATACTTTTGACCCAACAAACTAAGCAAGTAAGCGTGCGCGTGCGTGCGCTTCTCTTCTCTTTTCTCTCTCTCTTTCTCTTTCTGTATCTGTTGCTGCCTCGACTGCTATGGTTTTTCTTTTCTAGCTCTGTTCTTTCGCGCGAGACAGATATGAACCCGGCTCTGGTGCTCTACCCTATTTAGTGCGATTTTTTTTTTTTTTTTTTTTAAAAAAAACACCAAAAAACCCAGAACTTTTTGTGAGTGATTCTTTTAATTTAGAATTCCCACGGTATCTTATCAACCCTTATTCTTCTGCCTTTCTCTATTAACTTCTTTGACCCCCAACCCAAACTAAAGCAAAGTTAGCCGTGCGCGTGCGTGCGCTTCTCTTCTCTTTTCTCTCCTCTCTTTCTCTTTTTCTGGTATTCTCGTTGCTGCTCGGACCTGCTATGGTTTTCTTTTCTAGCCTCTGTTCTTTCGCGCGAGACAAGATTATGAACGCGGCTCTGCGTGGCTCCTACCCTATTTAAGTGCGATTTTTTTTTTTTTTTTTTTTTTCCGTTTGCTTCTATTTTATGTGGAAAAAAGAAAATAAAAAGCAAAACAACAATAAGCGGAAGTTTTCTTGACACTGTAAATGTTGTCTGTTGCGTGCCGTACGGAGTTTACCTCGGCTTTGTTTAGTTTTTTTTTTTTTTTTTTTTCGTTTGTTCTATTTTTATGTGGAAAAAAGAAAAATAAAAGAAAACAACAATAAGCGGAAGTTCTGTGACACTGTAAATGTTGTCTGTTGCGTGCCGTACGAGTTTACCTCGGCTTTGTTAGAACACAGAAACGAAGAACCGTCGAACCGATGCTATTGGCTTATTGCTGCCTTTCAAGTAATAATAATTTAGTGACGGCTTAGTACATTGAAAACTACTGCTACGACCAATCGTTTCCTGCAACGTGGCATGATTAAACGTGGAACATTCTGAGTGGACTGCCTGTCCGAAACTCTACTGGTCTTAGTTAATTAAAAATAAAAAGTAGAATGATAGGAAGAAAAATGTTTAACATAAATAATAATAAATCTTAGTTAAAGAAAAATATATTTTTTATGGTGATTATTTTCTATTAGAACTAAATATATATATTAGTAATCTATAATAAAATAATAATTTATAAGACTAATAATTGAATTATAGTTGTAACTTCTGAATAATTTACATGTATTTCTCATAAGTCTTGTGTTATACTTTGAAAATACAATAATAAATTTAAATAATAAGTACTACTTTTTTTAATTCTTTTAATTAAATTATTTTATTATTTTTTAAAAATTACATATTAGCTAGGTTAGTTATAAATATCAATTTATTATTTATTATTTTATTTATATTTTATTTAAATTTTTAGTAATTTAAATTAATATAAAATAGTCAAATCTTGATGTAATAAAATAGTTTATTATTTCATCCGTCCCAAAAAATTAATACACTTTCTATTTTTTACACAAATTAAAGTAGTAATTATTATGGTTAGAGGATAATTTTATTCATATAACTTTCTTATTATATCCATCTTAAATAACACATGAGCAATTATTATATTAGAATAATAAGTAAAAGTTAATGAGGTTATTGAAAATAATATAAAATTTAATAAATGTATAATAGGCAATTTAAAAATTAACTTTAAGCGAAAAATGAAGTAGATCATATTTTAGAACTAATAGAAAAGGAAATGTATACTATTTTTTTGAGACGAATTTGATTAAAATTTTTTATGTTATTTATGAATCAAATTTTGTATTATTTTAATAATATTTTTTTAAATTACTTGTTCAATTAAATATTAAGAATAAATCAAATCGAGTTTCTATATTCTTAGCATATTTAAAAAATATTATGTTTAATATGCAAAATAAAATTTATTTTGTCAAATTGAATTCTTATATTCTTACTGTATTTAATTTTATTATATATAACATATTATGTAATTTCTTATTGTATCAAATTGAATTCTTATATTATTTTCATGTTTAATATATACCTTATTTAGTACATAATATAACTTCTTATTTTATCCAATAGAAATTTGATTTAAATAGAAAATTAAAATAATTTATTATTTTATCAAATTCATTCTTATATTTTTACTATTTTAATACATACCTTATTTAACAAATAATAATATAATTTATTATTTTATCCAATAGAATTAATTATATATATTGGGGATAATATATAATATGATATAAACTTCATTAGAAGTTTGGGGATGAAATAGAGAATTTCTTCATAGACCAATTTCATTGGACATTGTTTGGGTGATTGATTTGATTCCTTTCTGTTTATAATTCTGCACCAAGGGATAAAGAGGAAAAGGAATTATTCTCCATATCTCAGGGATGAATATTATCTTATCCTTCCAAACTGTTCTTCTCAAAAGAATCTTTTCAAACACTGAAATTAAAAATATTTACCAGGAATAGAATTTGAAATTAGTAATATGTTTACTATTCTTCTTCGTCTTGGCTTGATATGTGGAAACATGAAAAGCTGTAAAAAGATGAGGATTTAACAAGTTGAAAAAAGAGAGTCAATTTAAGGAAAATTGCGTTGGAAAGAGGAGTTTGGTAGGTTGACTGACCCTCTGCAAATGCTTTAAGCTTTTAAAGACTTGAAATTAGGTCATTTTTGTCGAGCAAGTTGAGATAAAAGTGGATCCCACTAAAGCGATTACACAGATCTGGCATGAAAGAAAGAAACAAGTATCATATTCATCCATCAAAATTATTCCAAAATGGATGGAGCCCTGTGTTTAAGTGAATATGGCGTATCATATTCCACTTCTTCGCTGCCCTTTCACCCTTTGTTAGGTCATTCTTTGGTTTTTCAGTCACCGGATATTTATGTGAAACCCTAACTTTTCTATAATTATTTTATAAAATTATATTTACTAAATATTTTAATTTAAAAAATCATTTTATTATAATATAAAATGATATATAATATTATAAAATTCTATAAATTCAAGTGCACGGTATATCATCCATTGACTTTAAAGATTAAATAGCAATCCCGTTGATTATTATACCAAAGATTGAAATGATACAAATATTAACCAGGACTTGATAAATTACAATACCAGGAATAGGATTGCCCGACTGGCACATGCTCGGATAAAATCCGGGCCTTTTCGACAGAACTGGCCCGCCCTTGTGTTGGAATTGCCAACGGAAGAGTTCGTGGGCCCAAGTTTATGTCCGATATATTAATGGGCCACAATCTACTATCAAATATTATTTTTCTTTCCACTTACAGTTACTGTATACTTTTATTTATTGGTTGAAACGGATTATGAAAATAAGAAAACACAAATTTTAATTAAAAAACTAAATAATAATTCATCTTAAATTTTACTGCCTCGCAGTAAACTGAAAGCTCTTTTTTTATTTTTAAATTTAGATAATATTATATTTATATTATAATGATTGGATAGTATAGTTTGTTGACAATGGGCTTAAGCTCATACGTGTAAATAGTATTCTTGTGATCGTTGAATAACTTATACGGCATAAACAAATTGGTTGGTAACTTACATTGATTCCTTGAAGATCTTGTCTTTGAAAGTATATTCAATCATGAATTCTTTTTTTAAATCACACTTATTAAATTAGAAAATCATACTTAAGAAAATAAAAAGCCTAAAGCCATGCATATATTCAATTAATTATTATATTTTATTTTAAATGTTGAAAAATTCGAACTGAGTAAATCCTACATTAAAAAGAAATTTTTATCTGAACGAGACTGATTATAATATTTATAATTGGGATATTAATTACCCGACTCCAGCTGAAGAGGAAGGGGCCTGTGCTGTGTATGTATAGATATAGTTAAAACTGTTGAATGTAGAAGTAGAATGGGAGAGGGGAGAAGGAAGGTGATGGTGATGATGATGACATGAGCTTTTTCCAAGTTTCGTTATCCAAATTCCCTTTCAAGCATCTGGAACTGGAATCCAAATGGAATTTGAAGTCTCATAAGCCAGACTTGACATTTTAGAAAACAAACGCGTTGCTCGTTTGTAGTTCGGTTACATCTTAATAATAATAATAATATAAGACTTGGATGTGAGCTAGTCCACGCAGACAGACGTATACTAATAATAATAATAAAATGACAATTATATGTCACCTGCCGTATAAGTAGCCATTAAAGAGTGGCCCCATATCAAAATTTTTTTTTTTCCTTTTTTCAAATTGCATGTGAATATCATGTTTTCATTGCTCATAATAATCAAAAATAATAAATTATTTTATTATCAGGTGGTCGGGGCCGTCCATTCAGTTGTGTGCCCACTACTTCAAATTTCACTTTCATTACCCATAGCTAATTATCCTACTCTAAACTAACCAAAAAAAAAAAAAAAAAAAAAAGGACGCCGTCATTCAGTTTGTGTGCCCACTACTTCAAAATTCACTTTCATTACCCATAGCTAATTATCCTACTCTAAACTAACCAAAAAAAAAAAAAAAAAAAAAAATTTTTTTTTACCCCACCCCTTTTTTTTTCCTATAAAAAAAAAAAAAAAAAAAAAATTACACTTCTATGTTTATTCCAATAACACGTGTGTCTTCGCTTTATTCTGGTTGAAAATTATATTTAAATAAAATTTTTTTGATATTGATTACTCTAAAATTTAGAGGTTTGACTTTATAAATAAAATTCACTTTATATAAATGAAATCCTTTCAATGGTTTAAAATATAGAAAAAAAAAATTAATATGTTAGCAAAATTTAAAATTTAATGCTTATTTTTATAAATAAAATTACAATACTATTTCTATAGAATAAATTAGAATGATAATCCAAGAAAAAGTAAAATACCTATCAAGAACTAACTCTCATCGCGTGATTGCGTGAGTTTTAATTTCACATCTCGCTTTTTTTTTTTTTTTTTCTTTTCAAAAAAAAAAAAATTTATGACGATAATATTAGGGTTTTACAATATAAAGTTTTAATTTGTAAATGGTTTGATATGTAAAGGCTAAGGTAGCAATTATTTAGATAGGTAGAATTTAAACATAATTTAGGTAAAAATAATAAAAATGAAATAGGTATGTCTAAACATTGGTAGGGTGCAGATGTGTTTTGATGATATTTGGAGGGATTATAATTAGGGCATAGACTTTGGATGCACAAT